ATTGTCCTCACTGAAGTCCAGTTCCCCTCCTGCAGGCATCAAGTCTCCTCCTGGCCTGAGTGGAGCCCAGGCTGGGGACCTCATAGGTGAGGCCACTAGTTGCCAGGATCCAGGCCATGCAGGAGCTGGGAGTCATGTAGTAGGTCTGGGTGATGTCTACTTCAACAGCCGTGGGCGTGCTCAGGATAACAGCGTAGTGTCCCTTTGAGTCCTTGGGCAGTGAATTTCTTTACCCACACTGAGTTCCCGGGGTACAGGGTCTGTGGTGGGCACTGGCAGTGCATGTAGAACAAGCAAACTGCAGAGCCTGTAAGGACTTGAGCAAGGGAATGGTTATGAATTCCAGTTTTACCATACATGATCCCAAAAAGTGGGGGGGGACCCATCCCAGTAGGGGGTACACCTGGCCCATAAGAGGGCGAAGGGCAGGGATTGGTCCAATTTTCACCGGTTCTAGGACACATTTAGTTAAACTCCTTTTTAGAGTCCTGCTTATGCCTGTCCTAAGGCTTGAGCTATACTTTGAGATACCTTGGCTACAAAGGTTGGGCTATTATCTGATCCTATGACTACTGGCAGTCTGAATCTAGGTATAATCTCCTGGAGCAATCTCCTGACAACTATAGAGGCAGTTCCTGTCCCAGTGGGGTATACTTCAACCTAATCTGAAGTGTCTACAAAAACTAGACCTTTATGCTGGTGGCTTGGTAGTTACCTTTAAAGGAGCACCTATACGATTGTCAGCTGATTTCTCAACAGAAACCATGCAGGCCGGACAGGAATGGCAAGAAATATTCAAGGTGATGAATAGTAAGAACTTACAGCCAAAGATAATCTATCCAGCAAAGCTATCACTCAGAATCGAAGGTTAGATAAAGAGCTTCACTCATAAAAAAAAAAGCTAAAGGAATTCATCACACCAAACCAGAATTATATGAATTGCTGAAGGGGGTTCTTTCAGAAGAGAAAGTGAATAAAGATAAAAATTATGAACAACAAATATGTAACTATCAACAAGTGATTCTAAAAACCAAGGAAATTAAAAAAAAGATCTGATGAACAGTATTAACTGTTGAACATAATAGAATCAGAGGTATGGAAGGCGAGTAAACTGACGATTCTTGGGGAAAAGGGGAGAGGGGGATGTGGGAAGAGACTGAACATAAACTGTGCACCTATGGATGAGGACAATGGGGGATGGGGAAAGGGCAGAGGGTGGGGTGGGAACCTGATGGAGGAGAGCAATGGAGGGGAGAGGGGGAGGAAGGAACATTTGTAATAATAAGAACAATAAAAATTTATTTTAAAAAAATGCTGGTGGCTTAATCTCTAAAATCCACCTACCAATGCTCTCCTGGGGAAGTTCCCTGGGACCCAAATTTCCAGGGGGACCCCCTTACCTTGCTTAGCATTTACCTGTGCACAGACAGTACTTCTAGCAACTCTGCCTCACAGAAGCTCAGAAGTCTTGGTGACACCTAAGTGGGTAATCTGGTGTCACTGGGCTTCTAATGTCTGACCTAGAGCCTCTGGGACCAACAGTCTGTCATCTGGAGGGTCCACCAATCATCTGGTCCTTTGGTGGCTTGCTTCTGTTCAGCCAATTCCTTCCGGTTGCAGTTTGTAACCCTCTTTCTCTGTGGATGGCACACTGTCCCCATCTAAGTGCCTGGATAAAGGCCAAAAGTTCAAGAACTCTGCCCAAATGGTGTGGTCCAGGGTGACTACCGCTGCCTCTACCTCGTCTTGTGATGATGGCAGTACTGCCTCACCTCCATGCAGCCACGAATGGGCTCCTCTGGACCATCATCCAGAAGCAGGCCGGCAGCTCCTGGCCCAGAGTCTGTTTATCTGTCTCCTTCACCAGCAATGCTGTGGTGGCCACTACCCAGAGGCACGCTGGCCACCCTGCTGCCACAGTATCTTAGGCAACAGGTCTCTTCCAGGGACCTAGAGTCTGAGTGAAAATCCCTTTGGCAATGCCCCTTACCTCATTCACGTAGAGGTGGAAGGGCTTTGCGATGTCTGGCAAGGCTAGGGCAGGTGCTGAGATGAGAGCCTTCTATAGCTCCTCAAAGGCTCGTTGTTCCACTTCGGTCCAGTTCAGCAGCTGCATTCCCCCAATACGTGTTCCTTCCGCGGTCCACAGTCCTTGATGTCCAAGGAAAACAGACAGTTTGTCTGGTGGCTCCCTGGACTGATGAATGGGTCCCATCAGCTCTGTCAAGCTCTGCCCCAGTGACCACCAGGAAACTAACAGGTTTGCCTCTCCTAGCTAACCTGTCAGTACATTCTCTTTCTGTGCTCTCCTTTTTCATCATATGTACAACCTTTCAAATTAACTTTTAAACTTTCTATATCCTTCAAAAATACATAGTAACCATACCTCAAATCTTATAGAAAAGGCAAGGGAGGAGGGAGCAGGTCCAGTACCCTGTTCCCAGGCCTCCAGCCACTTGAAATTTAAAATGCCACATTTTTCCTACAGATACAGATCTCAGATTTTGATAAGCCTGAAAAAGGGGAATGGGGGAATTTCTAACTGCGCCTCTAAGCCCCCTAACAAAACTCGGTGAAAAGTGTCCAAGCAGTCGCCGGGGGTTAAATCACACAAATAATTATTCTCACACTGTTTTAAATCCTTAAAATATAAATCAAACGTCACACTAATAACTATAACAGTCTCATTAGGGGGCAGAGGGTCACAAGGGAATGTTTCTCCGTGTCCCTGCCACCGCTACTCAAAACAACCCCTGGAGGGGGATGGATGCTGGGTAGGCAGAGGCAGGGAGCATGGTGCAGGTCCCAGATGGCGAAGGAGGTGCAGTCCACTCTCTGTTCCCACTGGGAAAGGTGCTTACCTCCTGCTAGTAGGGGGAACGGTGACCCCTACGTTGCAATCAGACTCCCTGAATTTTCTGAAAAGCCCCTCTGCTTGAGGTTATTTCTTCTAAAGATTTTACAATGTACTGTAATCATTAATCACATCAAACTTAAATGGCCAATTGAGACAAACAGTAGTTAACTTTAGAATTTGGTCTCTGCTTTTAACTTTTTGGACCACAATACCACAATTGTTACAACTTCATACTTTCAAATTAATAAACATAGACATACCAAACAAGTAATACCCTGTTTCCCCGAAAATAAGACAGTGTCTTATATTAATTTTTGCTCCCAAAGATGCACTAAGTCTTATTTTCAGGGGATGTCTTATTTTTCCATGAAGAAGAATATGGTACACATTTATTGTTAAATGAAATTAAAGGAAATTTATTACCTGTATACGGTACGGTAGTACAGTAGTTGTCAACACAAACCAGACAAATTGTGAATCCTACAGTATCAAGAATTTACTCATTTATTCAATGACAATCATGTCATCATCTTCTGGAACATCATCATAATACAGTAATCCAATTCCTGAATTTCCTGGTGAATTTCCCATGACTCCATTTCTTTCAGAATCTCTCATGTTTAGCCTAGGGGGGCCTTATTTTCAGGGGATGCCTTATATTTCACTCAGAAGAAAATCTGTAAGTAGGTCTTGTTTTCGGAGGATGTCTTATTTTCGGGAAAACACGGTATATCTTGAATTCTTAATTATTAACTCTAGGCTTTTAGTTACCACATTTATATAACTTCTCCCAATTTAATTTATACTTTGAACTTTTAAAGCTGGCCTTATTACAGATTTTAAATTCCAAATACAAACTAAGATCTTAATTTGAACAAGAAACCACATTCTTTAAGCATATCCGAATCCCAAAACCTTCAGCACTCGCAAGTCAAACATCCAGCAACTCCCCATTAATAAACCTTTATATTTTCAAGAACAAGTTTCAAAATCCAACAATTAAACCATGTTGTTTTTTTTCTCTGCTATTCACATGAGAGCCATTCACATGTAAACTTGTCTCTTGGCTAGCATAGCCATTCAAATGCAAATGAACACATTCTTTAAAGCACATGTGTCAAACACAAGGCCCGCGGGCCAAATCCGTCCAGCCAGGCCTTGCAATGTGGCCCGCACCACGCTGTCATCACTGCACTCCGCTGCGTTTCCATCACAATGACAGTTTATGACTGTTCAGTAAACCATTCGGCCCGCGATTTAGGCTGGATTTTAGATTTTGGCCCCTTCTCTGATTGAGTTCGACACCCCTACCTAGAACAATAAGTCTGCCATTGGCCCTTCCGGACCTCCACACTAACACAACAACCAACAAGAAAAGGGCGCCCAACATGAACGCCCCAACTCAAAACTACCCCTGGGAGAGGCTCCACCCCCCTCCGGCCTGAGAGACTTTGGCCTCAGCCGCTCACCTCGTCCTGGGAGGTCGAAATGCCTTCTGAATCCTCCGGCCCATGGTCTTCCAGCAATGCGTCCATCTAGACCAGCGTTTTTCAACCGCTGTTCCGTGGCACACTAGTGTGCCGCGAGATGTTGCCTGGTGTGCCGTAGGTGCAGACAAGACAAGAACTTTATATTTTTTCACTATTTTGTTTACTTAATATTTCATAATAAAGTAATTATAAAATACTTTCTTTGTGTTTATTTGATTCCTATTCAAGAGAATTACTTTATATATAGTCAATATAGGCACAGAGTTAAATTTTTTAACATTTTCTAATGGTGGTGTGCCTCGTGATTTTTTTCATGAAACAAGTGTGCCTTTGCCCAGAAAAGGTTGAAAAACACTGATCTAGACCTCTTCAGGCACCACTGACCCAAGGGGTTTCCTCATCCCTCCAGAGCGCTCACACAAGCACACAGACACACACACACTTACCACGCCAGTCAGGCTCTCCGGATCGGAGTCTCTCAGGGTCTTGGGGATCCCACATGAGTTCCCAAATGTTACTCCCAGACCTCGTGATCCCCAAGAACCACCAGGGAGCCAAGTCCGATGCAATTGCAGAAAGCCTGAATTCCATGCCAGCATGGGCTCTGTCCCACCCATGCCTACAGTGTGGCAGAAGAGAGAAAGAATTTCAACAGTTCAATGGATTTTATAGGGGTGATGATGTCACTGCTTTGGCTGACCCCGATTGGTTGGGTGAGGGCTAGGGTCCAGTTACACAAAATGGAGGATAGCTCTGCCCTGCCCCACAGTACAAAATGGAGTCATGAATTAGCCTTGCCCCGCCCTGTCCTCTCACCTGATATTCTGCCAGCCCCTTCACCATCACAATTCAGCAAAAATCCTATGTTATCACCATAATTAGCTAGTTATCAATATAAGTAAGAAAGCAAATGGGAATAAGATAAGAAGCTTAATAATCAAACATTAAGCTGAATAAACTGGGAAGCTGAAGCAGATATTAGGACAGCATTCCAATGAGTTTGCAGGGAAGCTATAGCATAAAGAAACTCATTCACACACTCCAGGGGACTGCCATTGAGGATACCTAATCCACAAAGCTGACAGGAAGATCACCCCAGGTGCTGCCCTGCACACCCACACTGGATTCCCAGGGGAAGGAGGAGGGGAAATTCCTCTGCTGGGCACGTGAGCAGTAGAAACCAGATGATGGACATGCACAATAAAAGTTGTTAGCACAAGAGGGAGGTGTTTCCTTCTGGGCATGCTCAGTGAGAGCCAGGGTGATGCCAGAGGGGCAGAGCCTAGCCTGGGAAAAACTGGGAAGGTGATCAGATTGGTTAGAGGGCGTGGAACCCCAGTGGGTCCAGGAAAGGGCTTGGTTGGGAGGAGCACTTACTTGCTCCCCACCATCCCTCACAAGCTGGGGATGAACTGAATGACAGCTTGTTCTTTACTGTGAACCAAGGAAATATGGAGAATTTTAGCTAGTTATTAATTAATATAAGGAAGGAGCAAACGGGATCCAGAAGCAACAACCCTGAGACTGTTCCTTCTAGATCCTGCCCACCCTCTATGTCCCTGAGGGTGCCCTAGTCTTAATGCTCTTAACCTCAAATAAAATCTTGCCTTCACATTTATGTATTTACTAGAGGCCCGAGGCCCGAAATTCATGCAAGGGGCTTGGCCTTCACAGCCCTGGCTTGGTCCAGAAGGCCGTCTGGAAGGATGTCTGGTCTAATTAGCATATTATACTTTTATTATTATAGATTTTTTCCCATCACATTTAACCTTCACCACACGTGTGCCTTTTGAAACTCTTTTCTCTCAACAGCACAAATGCACCTGTTTTCAGCAGTAACACCTGCCCCTGCCAATGAGGTCTGTGTGTTGGTCTTACAATCCTTGCAGTGTCTGCCCCTGTCTCTTCCAGAGAAGTTTCCTGCAAGTTGAGTGGGCTTGGGACTTGGGAAGATGGGGCAAGGATGGCCTTTGGGAGGGTGAGAGGAGATCTAACAGTGTCACTCCCTGGAGCCAAGGGTGCAGTCTGCACTAAGTGTGGCAAGAGCATCCTCACCTTTTCCCAAAGCCTACCCTGAGCATTCACTCCAGGGTGAAACTTGGAATTCCCAGGCATAAATGATCTTGACTTCCTGAGCAGATATTTAGCCTTAGGATTGATGCAGGTTGTTTCAAAGCTAGTCTCTTGATGTTCAATGTAGGTATGTCTCTATTAACCTTAGTTCTGGAATTTCAAGTGTATCTTTCACAACCAGGGTGTGGAAAAGAATTATTCATGGTTTTTCTTTTTCTCATTCCCTGCCTCCATCTCTCCCCACCCTGGTTTCCTTTCTCTTCTCTAGTTTTCCCTTCATTACTGTCTCTTACCCATTTCTCTCTACCTGTCTATATGAGACCTATAAGATAGTGTTGAATACTACTTCATCTCAAACTCTGTCCAAGAACTTAACAAAGATGGGCTTATTGCCTATTGTGTACTAGGCACTGAGGAGCAGAAAAATGAGAAGGACCATCTCTGCCATTTAGTAGCTACACGTTTGCAAACTCTGACTCCCTGTAACCACCATGTTCCTGTTTCCTCTCCTACACTCTTTTTCCTTATAGCATGCATCACACTTTTGTTGACTTAAAAAAATAAACTTAACTGGAATCACACATGTGTTGTCCCTACAGGGTCACAGCACAGTGTTGCTCTCTTACTCCTACTGGGCTCAGGACTCTGGGGCCTGGTGAATAATTGGCATGTCTGTACCCACGGCACCCAGTGAATGGCTGACCAAACAAGACTTCATAACAATGCTCAGTGTGAACCTGTTGGGGAAGGTCCAGGCGACCCTGAGTCTGCTGCCCCTGGTGACATAGGCACGGGACAGTGTAGTCAATGTCTCCAGCATCTTGGGTGTGTCCGTGTATGGTGGGGGGATTGCATCTCCAATACAGTGTTGAGGTCTTCTCTGACTCCTTCAGGGCTTAGGCTGGGACAGGGGCCCTCTCTCAGTCCTCCTGCTTCTGTGCTTCTGGGGAGGACTTTTCCAGGGAATTCATTCACACAGCTTCAGAGGCTTTTCCTTCCAGATTCCTCTCTCTTGCTTTGTGTCACACATTCCTTAGGAAGCACTTTTTTATCTTTTGGGGATCAGGATGGGCCCCAGGTCTATAAAATTTGGTTTAACCTAACTCTGTCCCTGAGGAAGACTCAGAGTTAGAAAGTGGCTAAGGCAGAATTAGAACCTGAATAACTTGGCTGCAGAGTCCATGTCCTTAACCCCCAGGATAGTCAGTTCAGGGAATCTTTGAACTGGGGTAGAGCATTTGACTCAACTCTACAGATACTTCTGGGCACATCTGTAAGGGCTCAATTAATGTCTGAGGATAACAAGGTTTGTCCCTGGCCTAGAATCTCTGACAGCTGAGAAAGGGACAAGAGACACAGAAATGGTACGGCCATCACTTGTGATGGTTGAGACCATGTAAGCCATGGTGGCGTGGTAGCCAATGAATGGGGAAGGGTCATGGAGAAGGGTCTGAGCTGAGGAGTGAAGAACTGAACTTTGCAACCAGGCAAAGTAGAGTGAAGGCTTTCTGACTGAGGGAAGTAAGGTGAGTAATGATTGCCTGCCTCTGTTGTGGGTCCACCAGGGATAAACATCTAGGCCTGGCCTGGCAGGAAGGATGCTGGAAAGATGGGCTCCCGAGGGTGTGGCCCTGCATAGGCCATGGACCTTCATGCTGTTGGTGGCAGCGCAACCCCATGGAAAATATTAAATCAGAGGAGCTACTTTGTCAGATCAGCCTCTAGAGAACCCACTGGCTGGAGGACAGAGGATGGCTCTGAATGTGGGGAAGCTGAGACCACTGGCAGAGAGAGATGCACCTTAGAGGATGGATTGCCGGGAGTTGACAAGAGCAGGAGATGACTGAGGAGTATGGAAGAGATTGATAGAATTTAAGGAGAAAGAGGAGGAGAGAGTGTTTAAGCAATGCTTTGCAACAGAATAGGTAGGATTTATTATTTATTTATTTATTTATTTATTTATTTATTATTTTCTTTAATAAATATCGTTCAGATTATTAAAATTGTCCCTCTTTCCCCTTCTGCCATTGCTCCCCTCCATCTGGTTCCCACCCCAACCTATGCCCTTAACCGCCCCCAGCCCCTGTCCTCATACATAATTATATGATTTTTGTCCAGTATCTTTCTTCACCCCCCACCATCCTTTCTCCCCGAGAATTGTCAGTCCACTCTCTTTCTATGTCCTTGATTCTATTATATTCACCAGTCTGTTCCATTCATCAGATTTTTTATTCACTTGATTTTTATTTTTATTTTTATTTTAAAAATATATTTTATTGATTTTGTACAGAGAGGAAGGGAGAGAGATAGAGAATTAGAAACATCGATGAGAGAGAGTCATTGAACAGCTGCCTCCTGCACACCCCACACTGGGGGTATGCCCGTAACCAAGGTACATGCCCTTGACCGGAATCAAACCCAGGTCCCTTCAGTCCCCAAGCTGACGCTCTATCCATTGAGCCAAACCGGTTTCGGCTATTCACTTGATTTTTAGATTCACTTGTTGATAAATATCGATATGTATTTGTTGTTCATAATTTTTATCTTTACCATTTTCTTCTTCTTCCTCTTCTTAAAGAATACCTTTCAGAGGAAAAACCAAGATGGCGGCATAGGGTAGACACCCAAATGCAGCCTACCACAACAAATTTGAATTTAGAACTGAAAAACAGGGGAGGCATTGCCCTGAAGTGCCAGACGGCTAGCTGAGAGGAGGCTCTGCCATCTGGGAAGAAGAGAGAAGGCACGCTGAACCTCAGGAACTGTGAAGGTACGGAGAACTGTGTGCGCGAAAAGGTGCTGGCTTACTCCTGGCGCGGGGAGAGGAAGGGCCTCACAGAGATTGCTGCTGGATTACTCCTGGCATGCAGAGAGGGCGGGCCGGGCTGAGTTCGCTACTGGCTTACTCCTGGTGAGCGGAGAGGGCGGACAGCTAATGCGCAACTGGCTTTCGAGAGGAAAACAGAATCAGCCTATTGCTCTGATAGAGGGCCCCAGACAGGGAGAGGCCAGACTGTCAGGCAGTGGGCAGAGATCTCTCGGAGGTGTGTGAAGCCAGAGGCCATTACTGCGGGACTTGGGGAGGAGCTGAAGGGAAAACAAAGTTTGTCTGCACCAACCTGAGACTCCACCCCATCTCTGGCTGAGCACAGAAGCTCTCCCAGAGGCTGGCTTTCTCTAAGGAGGGACTGGCAGGAACCCCAAGCTTGTCTGTGCCTTTACCAAAGAGGTGCGCGCGCCTGCAACCAATCTTCCGAAACTCTCCAAGAACAGGTCTTTTCTAAGGCGAGACTGACAGGGAACCAAAAGATTGTCTGTGCCACCCCGAGACTCTGCCCTATCCAAGCGGAACACAGAAGCCCTCCTAGCTGAGACTGCTGATCCTCAGAGTCAATTGGCTTGGAGATCAACGCTTCCCAGTGAAATCAACAATAAGCAAGGCTTACCAACAAGACTGCACACACAGCCCACAAAGGGCTTCACCAAGACTGTCCACCTCAGGTAACTGGGAAGGCTGTGCTACTGGGCTCTACACCTAGAACACAAAGCTATTCCATCAAATCAGGGAAACAACTAAAATGCAGACAAGAAGAAGGACACAAAGGAAGGAGATGGAGGAAAAGAAAAGATTGGACATTGAGTTCAAAACTACAGTTATAAGATTATTCAACAATATCCTAAAAAATGCCAATAAAATAAATGAGACCTATGAGGATATGAAAAGGGAGCAAC